TAGAAAAAATAAAACTAACTTTATTTTTTTTAAGTTTGGTCATCCTTCACTGTATGACAAATATACTATATTTTACTTAAAAATATGCAAGCGGCTCATAGCTCAGTGGTATGGCTATCGCTACAGGCGTCGAAGACCTCGGTTCAAATCCCGATTCGCGCAAGTTTTTCCTTTTATGCAGTGAAATTTCATGTACATAGGTTACTTTGGTGTTAGACCCTAGTGAAGAAAATAGAACGATATAAGTTTACATTTGTAAGGTTACTTTGGTGTTAGACCCTAGTGAAGAAAATAGAACGATAGGAGTTTACATTTGTAAAGTTGGACGATAAAAATCTCTGCTACTGTCAGTAAAAGTACTGTTTCAGAGCAATACTTGTACTGTTTCAGAGCAATACTTGTACTGTTTCAGAGCAATACTTGTACTGTTTCAGAGCAATACTTGTACTGTTTCAGAGCAATACTTGTACTGTTTCAGAGCAATACTTGTACTGTTTCAGAGCAATACTTGTACTGTTTCAGAACAATACTTGTACTGTTTCAGAGCAATACTTGTACTGTTTCAGAACAATACTTGTACTGTTTCAGAACAAAGTTCTGAAAAAGCTCTCAATTTGTGAGAAAAATTTTCTGTTTCAGAACAATATTTGTACTGCTTCAGAACAATACTTGTACTGCTTCAAGACAATATTTGTACTGTTTCAAGACAATATTTGTACTGCTTCAAGACAATATTTGTACTGCTTCAGAACAATGTCCGACGTCCCACCAACCGAGTCCATTCCCAAGCCAGTTCACGAACAAATCTAATGGCGAAACATTCACAAAAGGCACTTACAACGGTATTGAAGTCTTACGTAGAGACAAGGATGGTTATATAAATGCAACAAATATGTGTCAGCAGTTTAGGAAGGACTTTAGAAGGTTGTTGGAAAATAAGTCCTGGGAAGAGTATTATACGGCATTTTGTGAAGAATATACCAACCGCCGGAATTCCGGCGGTTGCTTTTTATACAAAGTTCATGCAGGAATTCCTGAGTTTTGGTTGAAAGAATACGGTGGAGCCAAAAGTGGCTCGACCTCAAAACAAACATTTTATGAGCTTACAAAGGGTGTTATGAATGAATTCAGCAACATATATCCTGACCTCGTTCATTTTGTTGCTGAATTCAGCAAAAATAATGTTTAGGTGAAGAGGTGAGATTTCACCTCTTTTTTCACCTGTTTTTTCACCTCATGAATTTTCATGAATTTCTTCGTAAATGTTTTGTCAAACATGAACGTAAATGTTTTGTCGAAACTTCATCGTAATGAGCGTAAATCAGACAAAAATAATGTTTAGGTGAAGAGGTGAGATTTCACCTCTTTTTTCACCTGTTTTTTCACCTCATGAATTTTCCCGAAATAAAAAATAAAGTTGGTTTTTTTAAAAAAATATTTTTTATTTTTATTGTAAGAACATGTTAGCAACTACAGCACCAAACTCGTTAGTTATGAATCCAACATCTATGTTAGTAGAGATGAAAAACTTCATTCCTTCTTCATATACTTTCGAAACAAAAATCCAGAAGATAAAGCAAGAACTTTTAACAAGTAATTTAGACTGTACGCACAGGATGAAACAAATGAACAGTATCTTTATGAAATGCAGGACATTATTGACCATTTACCAAATTGCCTGAAATTCAGCAGCAAAACTCACTATTCCGAATTTGACGAATTGAAGTGAAACCAACTGACTCAGTAGAAATAAAGAAGTTCATACGAAAGGTAAACTATGAATTCCTTGGATTTCATTGCAACCACAAAGTCATGGACAAAGATTGCGACATGGTATATAAGAACATCTCTGACATATAAAATCCGAAGAATTTAAGACCTACGACAACTTTGTTTCATTAGTTGCAAAATGTGTTTGGGAAATAAGAGATAAAGATAGTAGGGGTAAGGTATGGAACGAACAAATAAGACCCGCTATGTTCGAGATGAAGAGAGCAATTGACGCCTTAGTTGTTTTAGCAGGTAAGGTTTCAGAATATAACGCAAAAATGAACCCGCAATGTTCAAAATGTAAGGCAGCAATTAGGAAATATAACTACTCAGTCAAAGAGATAGAAAGAATGAGAAACGACTATGCAGACTTAAAGAAAGAAGCAGAAAAGCCAGCAGAAGATAAAATGGATATGTTGACATTTCTTAATAAAAACTATCCAACAGCAGAAGATTTCCTTCTATCTGACGTCAAGAAGAAGTATAAAGAAACTTTCGGTATCGTTAAAACTTTTGACATACTGACAGAAGAAATAGAAGCTACGAAATTGTTTAGGATTTCAAATATACATCGTACAATTCATGTAAAACGCTTATAAAATAACAGGTGAAAAAAGAGGTGAAAAAAGAGGTGAAATCTCACCTCTTCACCTAAAATATATTTTTGGGTCATTTACGCTCATTACGAAGAAGTCTTGACAAAACATTTACGATGAAATCATGAAAATTCATGTACGAAGAAGTCTTGACAAAACATGTACGATGAAATCATGAAAATTCATGAGGTGAAAAAACAGGTGAAAAAAGAGGTGAAATCTCACCTCTTCACCTAAAATATATTTTTGCTGAATTCCGTATGAAATTTCATGAATTTCCTTAAGACAGAAAAAATAAAGTTAGTTTTTTATAAAATATTTTTTTTATTTTGTATGTAAGAACAGAAATGTTAAACATTGAGTTTGAAACAGTTAAAAAGATAGACAATGACACCAAATTGGTTAGAATAGGTGATTTAAACGTAAGATACTCAAAGAAATACAACAAATATTCTTTGTCAGACATTATATCTCCATCTGGAAAGAAAACATCCCACGACTGGGTTAGAATTGCTTCTACTCAGAAAATTTTGACAAGAAATCCTGAGCTTATGATATCGGTAAGATTTCATGGAACTACAGCATATCTCATTGACAAAAGTCTTATACCAATAGTTTTGTTATGGTTAGACCCAGTTGTTGGATATAATTTCATAACATATGGTTCATTCGATACGGAACGTTGCAGTGAAGGCTTACTTTACATCGTTCAGAAACCGAAGGACTTCAATACAAGAGATATAAGATAGGAAGAACATATAATATAACTCAAAGATATGACAGTACAGTCAATAGAGTTAAGGTTGTGTTCGTTAACGATATGAGAGCTGCAGAAACAGAACTACTCGAAAAGTTTGAGAAAATGTATGGTGCTCCCACGAAAGGTAAAGAAACGTTTGAAGTAGATGAGATAGATAAAGCTATAAAATTATTTGACGAAGTTGCTGAAAAATACATGTAAAGCGTTTATTTTTGGTCTTTTGTGAAAGATAGAAAAAATAAAGTTAGTTTTATTTTTTTTATTTTTTTTATTTTGTATGTAAGAACAGATATGTCAACAACAGAGAACACAACAACAGTTATAGTCCATGAAGCTATAAATGAAGAATATGAGTGGGTTCAGTTTAACAAACAACTCCGTCTCATTCGTTCGGTCAAAGACGATATGTACCAAATGCAAAGTATTTTGACTGCATGTGCTACACCAGATACTAAGAAACCACAAGACTGGTTTAGGAACCAAAACACTATTGAACTCCTCAGTGAGTTTGAACATGTAGAACTTAAAAAGATGTACCAAGACAGACAAAACTTACCATCGCATCTAAAAGGTATATATGTTCATAAGTTCCTAGTTAGTTCAATAGCAATGTGGGCTTCACCTCGCTATGCATGGTATGTTTGTAAACTTCTTGACGAACTTTGTACAAAGCAGAGAGAAGATATGATGAAAGAAGACAAAAGCATTCAGAAAAGAATACCACGTTCGGTACCAAAAGGAAAGGAAAAGAACTATAAGTATATGATTTACACTGAAGAGATGGAAAATGAAGAAGACAGAGATATGGTTATGTTGCATTTAGTCAGAAGAAACAACAAAAGCTTTTACGACCTTGCTAAGATTTACAAATCTGACAGAAATTGGTTCTATCGCGAAACTTACCGATTTCAATGACACCGAATGAAGATGTGAAACAAATAGTTCAAGATACTTTACCTCAAACACACTATGATATGAAAGGTTGTACAATACTTACATTCAAAGAAGATTTGCCATTGTTAAAGGAAAAAATAACAGAGTATTTTGACAACTTCAAACAAGCAGAGTAAATTGCACTCTTTATTTTTACGCTTGACTTCAGATGGCTCAGGTAGGTAAATTGCCTCGTCAAATCCTTCTGGCATTCCGAGTCCTTCCTTCCGACATTCCAAGTTCTTCCTTCCGACATTCCAAGTCCTTCCTTCCGACAAGAAAAAAATTTCCCGACAACTGGAAAAAAATTTCCAGTTGTCCGTCGTAAACCATTCAAATTTTCGAAAATTGAGAACTTTTTGGTCGAACTTCAGAAAAAGTTTTTCCTTCCAACAGGAAAAGTTTTTCCTTCCAACAGGAAAAGTTTTTCCTTCCAACAGGAAAAGTTCTTCCTTCCAACAGGAAAAGTTCTTCCTTCCAACAGGAAAAGTTCTTCCTTCCGACAGGACACAAACGAATGTCCGACGTTCCTCTTCCTGAATGCCTTCCAAAGCCAGAAGAACCGAAAGCTGCAGAACCACAACAGACTTACTTACTAAGACTAAACTCTTTATTTTTCAAGCTTGACTTTTTACAATTTGAACTTTGTTTGCGTAGATATGAATTCTGAAAGAAGTATGAGGGTCTTGTATGACTTTGTACTTCTCCCATAGTTCATGTCTGTCAAACTTACCTGCCATGGACTCTTTCATAAGTTCCATGAAATGTCTTCGGACAATCCAGGGAAAAGTATGATATCAGTAAGTATTCTTTTAACATCCTTACTTAAACTCTTTGCTGTCTGTACACAAATGACAACAGAGATGTTAAAGTGTCTGAGCTTCTTAAGAATTCGACACATGTCTTGTTCTCTGTTCTTTAACAAAGGATGAGAAGCAAAGTCATCTAAGATAAGAAGACATCTATGAGGGTAAGTCTTCCAATCGTAAGATTGCAATTTCTTCGAAATGTATTCTATCTCTTTCTGTTTGTTTCTGAAGTGTTTCTTCTCTAATATTCTCTGCATTTCCTCATTTGGGTCTTTAAACTTCGAATTTATATACTCATTTATAGCATTGTACTTCAAAACTCTTCTTTGGTACTTCTTTATCCAATCTAACAACTCAGAGTCTTTTATACATACTAACTTAGACTTCTTTATAATATCTTTGAACGAATTGACGGTTTGGTCAAATTGACCAGATGTCGAACAAATAACAACTAACTCATAGAATGGGTTCTTCTCATCTAGTTCTTGTTGTTGTGCAGCCATTTTAAGATAAGTGAAAGTCTTACCCGACCCAGGTGGTGCAATTAGACCTGTTATACCATTTTGAGCAAATAGGAACTTGTCATGTATGGGTTTTATCTGAGCATTTTCTAACTTCCTCTTGTTCTTGTTTAAAACATTCTCAAATTTCTTGTCAATGTCAGCAAACTTTTTTTCTAACATATTTTAGAAAAATTAAAATTTTTATCTTTTAGAAAATGTCTAGCGATTTCGCTATCTATATTCGAGACAAGCTTTTTGACTCTAAAACATCTGTCGACCATAAAATCTTACATAGTGTAAACAAGAAAGGTGAATTTGTTCTAAAGTTCTGTTTCTGGGAATATGACAAGAACCATAAAACATTAAGCAGAGAAGTCTTTAAGTTTGTCAATGACAGACTTGTTGACAGAGATGACGCCGATTGGAGAGATGAAGTCCAACAAAAGTTCTTAGAATGCAAAGAAGACACATGCGCTGTTCTTGAAGATGAAATAGAAAACAGAATAGAAGAGCTATTAAAGGACAAAGACCTTTTACAAAAATATGGTTGCGCCAAATTTGACATAACTCCACCAGAGAAGAAGAAGAAGAGAGAAAAGAAAGAAAAGAAAGTAGAAGAAGAGAAGAAAGAACCTGAACCAGTTCCAGAGAAGGTGAGATATGACATGTAAAAATAAAATTTTATTTTTAGAACATTTCTGGGTCAATGTCAATGTTCTCTTCCTCTTTAGGAGCAAACACTGGCTTAGACTCTAAAATCTTTTTACCCAACTTACCTTGAACTTCAACTATCTTAGACTCATAATATTCATAGTCGTCTGTCTTCTTTGGTTCATAAGGTATAACAAGTTTGTATGCTTTGCCTTCTTTAAGGTTTGAGAACCTTCTGTCAAAATTTTCTTTGACTGTTAACAAACCTTCTATGTCTAAGTCTTCAAATTTCGCACCATTTTTAGTCACAATAGCAAACTTAACTGGTTCGATGTTCCAAACTTTGTCAAATGTAGACTTTTCAAAATGGTAGAAGTAAACATTCAAATAAGCGAATGGGTCTAGTTCTTCTTTGACTTCTGTCATGTACTTATTTACTGAGATGAATTTCGTCATCTTTTCTATCGGATAAAAAAAGATTTTTTTAAAAAATGTTTTAAAATGGTATGCCATATAGCTTCTTGAATTTGTTAAGAAGTATTTTAACGTTTTTTCCATCTGTATCTCTAGCGTTTACATAAGCATAGCCATTAGTAAAACATACTTGTAATTTTCTATAGTTTACGCCGGTATAAAAGTAGAAAGAGTCTTGTTCTTCGCTATAGTAGTAAAACTCAAACGTATGCTTACCATAGTCTGTAATTTCAATTGTTTCATCTTCTAGTTCGTCGACAAATTCGAATACAATATCTCTAAATTTGCCTCTGTTCTTACTGTTTTCAGAACAAGTAACCCAACGTAAATTTTCAAGTCTATTGTCATTTCTTATATGGTTTATATGGTCTACAAAAGGTAAATTGTTAGGGTTCGGTATAAAATGAGTTGCAATGACAACATGTTTAAAATAGTGTTTTCCACCAATCCTCATCCTAGCATATCCGTTATTTTGCTCCCATTCGCTTAAAACTCTTTTTGTCTTTTTGTTTCTGACTTCAAATGACTCACAACAGTGAATTTCATATTTCTCATCTAACAAACAAGTTTTCCAACGGTCTTCTCCAACAAACTCAGCGTACATTTCAAATAAAATAAAAAAATATATTTTTTGAAAATATATTGTTTTAAATGGTATGCCATATTTTACTATTTCATGCAATGTTTTACTTCTCATCTAACAAACATGTTGTCTGACGGTCTTCTCCAACAAACTCAGCGTACATTTTTATAAAAATAAAAAAAAATATTTTTTTATTCTTGAGCTTGTTGTTGCATTTGTTCCATTTGTTGCATTTGTTGTTCTTGAGCTATTTGTTGTTGAAGTTGTTCTTGTAATACAATACTTTCACCAGTTGCATCTTCCAATTCGAAACTTTCTGCCGTCATTGACAAATACATAGGACATAAAAGTTTTACAGGAACAAAGTTTGCGTCAACTAATGTCAACGTTATACTTGCCAAAGTGTTTGAGTTCACTAAGGTTGAAAATTCTGCATTCGAATGAACAATAGGCAAACCAGCAGAGAAAGTATTGTTTATACGCATAAGTATCTTTTGGTCATAATAGTTTCTGTCGACATTCGAATAACACTTTGAACCTAAGTTTGAAACAATATATAAAATAGGTGTACTTAAAGTCAATGGAACAGACATTCCTTGTATGACACCTTTTCCTGTTATAGGAAACTGTTGGTAGTAAAAACCAGAAATAAGTTTTGTATTATAGCTCATATTGTTTATAGTAAACTCAGTCGGACATCCAAACATAATGAAACCTGCTCTAGTTGCAGCACATGTTACATCCGTCCTTAAAGTATTAAATAAGTCAACAAAACCTGTTGGTGGTATATCTGAGTAAGTATCTTCAAAGGAGTATTTTTTACCATTCACAACAATAAAGTCTTCTGGTGTCAAAAGAGCAAAACAGGCTTTAGTCGTCATTGTGTTTAAAGTTAGTTTACAATATCGTCCTTGAGGACTTTGTAAGTTTGTTGTTATAGAATTATATGACTCAGGGTTTTTAGTCGTAATAGTATAAACCATTATATCTTCTGCCATTTACTTAGCAAATAAATTTTAATGAAATGTTGTGGTCGTCAAATATTTTTATGACGTCTGGGAAACTATACTTTAAGTTCAACGTTTCACCTCCTTTCATAACGTATATCTTGTCAATGACATTATATGAAACACCACAGCAACTAATGTCGGGTTCTATTTCTTTGATGTTTATATCGTCTGCCTCTGTCAAAAGTTTCAATAGTTCTTTCAAGACTTCATGAGGTGCAATGACATATGAGTTCACTTTTACAGGGTTGTGTTCGACCAAGTTTAACATTATACTTAAAGCTTGACAAATCTTCTCCTGAGTTTGAAGTTTGTCTTTAAGTTGTTGGTAGTCGTTTCGAATATCTGCAACAGAACTTAAGTCTCTGCTAACTTCAGGATATGTTGGTTCTTTTACAGGAACAATTGTTATACCATCTTCGTCTTCGTATGGTTTCCCCACTTCAACATCTCTGTCTTTGACATTGACAACAACACTTTGACTGTTTGTTTGAGTTGGTGAATTTAACTTCACATCTGCCACCGCCATTAAACCTTTTGAAACACTCACGCTTCTATTTTTCGGAAATGACATTTTACTTAGAATAAAAAGATGGACGTATTCGAGTATCTCTTCGAATTGAAGCAGAACAAAGTTTACACACACAAACAATACAAATACATTGACAGAATAGTTCTTTATACAAACAATGGAAAATGTTATAGAATAGCAGTCTTTGCTGAACCAAAATATTTTCATAAAGCAAAGAAAGTTGGTATAACTGAAATGGTGAAAGTTCTTGACGTTGACAAAAATATAACAACAAAACTTACAGATATTTCTAAAGGTAAGTTTATAATACAATTTTATGTCAAAACTGGCGTACTGTCAATATTTGACGGAGAGAAGTCAGTTCAAGAACAACTTACTGACCTGCTGCCAAAATCTGCTCGATGGAAGCTGTCGTTATACCAATCTGAGGAGCCCCAGCAGGTTTCATCGAACGAATTTTCAAAAGAGCATCTTCTGTGAAAAGTGCTATTGGTTTTGTAAACTTCTTTGCTTTCAATTCATCTGGACCGTCTCTGTCACCAGTATATTGTATTTGAACTGTACCAACAGTTGAAATACCACCCATAAAGTCTTCTGAGTCAGCAAATGGAATGCCAAGCCAAAAGTTTGAACGGTCTCCATTTGTATATTGAGTTTTTTGACCTCCTGTATGAGTCCATACTTTCACATATGGCATAATAGAACTTTGCATTTCAGGGTTAATGGTTGTTGTGAAGTTGTTGTTAAAGTTCATAGCATCTAATGTCAAGTTGTATGACCTCATATCCTCAACTGTAGAATATTCTTCTCTTGGATAATATTTGCCATCTATGTTTATATGATATTTAATACCAGGGTTGTAGAAACAAGAATAGTCATTTATAGTTCGTCTGAACAGTACAAACATAGTATCTGCATGTTTCATTGCAGTTGTTAAGGCAATATCTGTTCTTGCACCTGGGTCAGCACTTTGGTTTCCAACTTCACCTGCAAAGTCTTTGACAGATATTTGTGTATAGGGAACATAAGTGGAACTGCAATATATTTGGCAGCTAAAGCATTTGAAATATCTGGGTCCAACATATAGACTGCAAGTCTGCTTTCTATTCTCTTGCATTCAAATTTTTCGCATGTGAACTTAACTGGGTCCCAAGCATCTCCAGCAGCATTGAAATAATAGTTTACTTCAGTGTTGAGGTTTGAGAAACCAAAGTCTAAGTCAACTTTGTTTTTGCAAAAGTCGGCGAATGACATTTTATTTGTTCCCACTACTTCTGTAAGAGTGAATGGGTCTTGTGTTGGTGCAATGACTAAGTTATTTTTGCTTGGAGTAAGTTCGATAGAAATTTTTCCTGCCCAGTTTGGCAAGTATCTTAAAAACCTGAAGATGAGGAAAGATGACAAAGGAACTCTAAGTTTCAGTTTTACTTTGGTTACTGCTGCTGCAGTTTGTCCAGAAAGGTTAACATAAACTCCTGGAACGTTAGGGTCAAGTCTTCTTATTTTCTCAATAGTTGCATACTGGTCTGTTTGTTCTCTAGCTTGTGGTTGTACTGAGTTTCTCAAAGCGAACCATTCATAGTTTGCCCATGTTACTGTTTGAACTAAGTCAGAGTTAGAATATATCTTATATCCCATGAAAACTTCTGGAGCATATTGGTATCCGACATAGAAAATTCCATTGCAACCTTTCTTGTCAGACAACTTGGCAGAAGGTTTTATTTCAATGTCTTGTTCCACGTATAAGAAAGAGTTGTCAATAGAAATTATATGAAACCTGTCGCAAGCAATATCTACTGTTGTTGAAGAACCTTCTCCAAACTCACCTACGTTTCCATAAGAAACAGCAGTTGTATATTCGTAAGTTCCAGGAACTATTTCTGACCTTCTAATGGCATTGTCGCATTCGTTATACCATTCGGAAACATTTCCA